AAACTATAATGCCAATCCTGATCTCAAAAGCTTCATAGAAGGTTGTAACAGAACCCATGAGCACCACACCAGAAATAAATACAGTTTTGATATTCCTAGAGTACGACTTAATCAAACTAGAAATGCTCTACAAATCAAGGGGCCCAGAATGTGGAATGACCTTCCCAACCATGTTAAAGACTGTACCTCTCTCAACCAGTTTAAGTTAAAAGCGAAGCTATACCTAATAAATTCCCTGTAACCTACCTTACCCTTCTATTGTCAACCAATGTCTGTTTTTTCTTTAAAGAGCGCTGTTTGTCGACATAATTGTACTTGTGCTGCTTTTTCATCTATGTTTTCATTTCTTGTTTTCATTCTACTCATTATGCTCAATTAGTATTAAGCTTGTCATTTAAGTTTATCATGCCCGAAACGCTTTGCGTAATAGTGGCTTTAGGCATTGTATGTACTAGCTCTACCTATAAGTCAACCAATCCTTGTAAAAATTTATTGTATGTATGTACCTTACCTAAATAAAATTGTATTGTATTGTATTGTTGTATTGTTGGTTGTGCACGCCCCCCCCCCCCTCCCACTATGCTTCCCTTGGTTGTGCACGCCCCCCCTCCCACTATGCTTCCCTTGGTTGTGCACACCCACACTTCTTCGCTTGGTTGTCTCACACACACACGACAGGGGCTCATCTCATTGAAACTTAAAATACTGAACAATTTGGAAGATATTGATCCAGACAACTTCGGAAGGTCAGTTGTGACACAAATAAGGATCAAGCAACGGCTTACCCGAACTTACCTGAGGGCTAAATCATTTATTTAGGCAAACGTACATACATAAGAGACGGAACAGTGTAGGATTCTTAGGTAAGACAAGCACAATGCCCACAACCACTAATATTCAGACCCTTATGGGCATAATTTTGTATAATAATAATAATAATAATAATAATAATAATAATAATAATAATAATAATAATAATAATAATAATAATAGTAATAATAATAATACAGTAATAACAATAATAATAATTTTATATACAAGACGGTACAATGGATTTGTGAGATTACATAAAATTGGTATTTTTACATTCTTGCTAAGCCACAAAACGTGACTCGACAGAGGTGATTACATTAGTGAAGATATATGTCTTAAGTGCTACTATTGGGGGGAGTGAGTAGCGCAAGATAAAGTGTGAGTTTGAAGCACATGGTAGGAAACTATGAGGATGAAATTAGGTACTTTTTTATTTTACTTTTGAATAATTCATAGGTTGGACAATTTTTTAATTCATTACGGAGTGAGTTCCATAGACTGGGTCCTTTTATTTGCATGGAGAGTTTGTACAGATTTAGTTTGACTCTAGGGATATCAAAGAGATATTTATTTCTGGTGTGCTGCTCATGAGTTCTATTACACCTATCAAAGAAAACTTTCCAATCAAGATTAGCATTTAGGAACAAGGGTTTTGTACATGTAAGTAGCACATGGGAATGTGTAAAGTGAGTGTATGTTTAGCATATTAAGGGACTTAAACAGAGAGGCTGTGTGTTGTCTGAAGACAGAGTTTGTTATAGTTCAGATAGCAGATTTTTGCTGAGAGATGATGGGCTTGAGGCAATTTGCGTGGTTGAACCGCTTGCACATACCATGTATGTGGTAATCCTTTATCTCCTAACTCGTCCCTCTTTTAGCGACGCTTGTTTCATCCTTGAAGCCTATTATCATTTGATCAAATTAGTGATGACACTTTTCTAGCTGGTGGCATACGTTGCTGGAAGCCGATGGCTTGTCAAAGGTCCGCTCATTTGACCTGATGATTCGATTGAGCTGGATTTTGAAATTCAGCAGTATTTTGGCATTTATGGCTTCGGCGGGTAGGCCTATGCCCTATAAGAACCTGTAGGAACATATCTCTCTCAAAATCTGAATCGTCAATCGCTGTGGTGACGACAGCTGCGCTAACATCAGCACCGGCTGCACGGGTGAAGGCAAGGTGGGAAATTAAGCCTTCACTCTCTATATGGATTTAATTGTATAAATGAGAAACCCAAGAGAGTAGAAAGTCATCGAAGTTATGATCAATAGAGACTTTCCATTTACAAACCGCAAGTACGGTAGTCTATATATAGTTACTAAATGCAGAATATACGAGAAGGGAAGGGAATTATGAGGAGAAAGCATCAAGCTATTACGACTATTTAGCACTTGGCAGAGGTCAGGATAAGTATTTGGGATAGGACGGAGGGAAGGAATGGTGCCCAACTACTTGGACGATCGGGGATTGAATGTCGACCTGCATGAAGCGAGACCGTCGCTCTACCGTCCACCCCAAGTGGTTGGGTATTAAAAGTAAGAGGTTGGCTTAGTTAAGTAATCCGCTACATGTAGCACTGAAGTAGCTATACTGGCACTACTGACGCTGACTTGGCATTATGTTGAGCTCGGGCAACATTTCACTCCACGTCAATTATAACACTCGCGGCCGCCGAGGAAAGTACAGTATAGGCATATTCTGTTATAATACAATGTCAATTAAATATACCTGAAAATAAAGCTGAATTTTAGTACTTATACCCGCATGTATACGGTATATTCAACGTCTCATTTGTAACTAGGTACAAAATAAGTACAAGAATGTAAGAACTCTTGTATATATAAAATAAATAAATAAAAAATAAAATTAACCAAAGTTATGTCATACCATAACTGTAACATGCTCGTGTCCGATGCTAGACAAAAATGATGATAATAGAGTCCATTTCATGTGGTCTTTATTATAGCAATTATACAAGTTGGTCAACAAACAGTATTGTTTGAAAATAGTAAGACATGGGTTGACATTTAGGGGTGAGGTAGGTTACATGGAGTTTATTAGGTACAGTAGTACTTAGTTTTTCTCTTGAACTGGTTGAGAGAGGAACAGCCTTTGATATGATTGGGAAGGTCATTCCACATTCTGGGTTCCTTGATTTGTAGAGCATTTCTGGTTTGGTTAAGGCGCACTCTTGGAATATCAAATAGGCATTTGTTTCTGGTGTGTTGCCCATGGGCTCTGTTACAACCTTCTAGGAAACGTTACAACCAGGATTGTGAATGCCTCAACAATTGCAACAAGATAGCAAATTTTTTTCTCCTTTGTCAATCCTGACTACACTGTCGCGAGTCATGTTTCTTACCACAATACTGACAGCTGAGGTCAAACTGACATTTCTAAGCCATATGTCCCCGAACGAGAACACTTCATACATAATACAGGCTCCTCAATATATTTTGCCACTTTCCTAAATCCAAGTCCTTGCGGGTACTTATCAACTGGATGCCAAGTCATGTGGGAATAATAGGAAATGACATTGCAGACGAAGCTGCAAAACTTGCAACTAAGAGAAGAAATGTAGACATTTACATACCACAGAGTCTATCACAAATTAAGAAAGAAATTAGAAACAAAGCAATACAAAAGATGTATAGTGACCACACCACAGCAGCTGCAACATCATGATCTGCAGGTTGGTACAAGAATTCAACCAACTACGAACCACTTAGTTTGATGAAAAGGAACAGTAGAACAGCACTTACATCGCATCAGGCTTGGATACCCATGTGCATGGGAAATAAGCTTACAGGTTCCGGAAGATGAGAGGAAATATCAGCACTGTGGAGAAATGCCCGACAGACCACTGGAACATTATCTAACACAGTGCAGTTACAAACCCATTAAGATTTCAACTTAGATTCAACAGAGCAGAAGTTGTTAAACTCATGGGACAAAATCTTACTGAAGCGACCATACGACCAGCTCCCACATATGCAACTTTCAATGGCTGGTCTTTTTTTCATCAATCAGCTGCAAGGTAACAGTGTTGATTTGGTAGTTATGACATCATTGTTATGCAGCACATGCAATTAGCTCTTGCAATTTACGATATTAAAACGCATTTGCCTGTCTTCCAATCATTCCAATCTACATCTTCCAATCATATAGGCATCAATATTATTTTCACTTCCTACTTTTTAATATATCTTATTGTCATCTGAAAATTTGATGATGTAGTTTGTAATGAACAAATCCACAAGAGCCGTGACGAGGGTTCGAACCTAAGTCCGAGAGGATCACAGACGCTGCCTTAATCGACTGAGCTACGACATGATAAAAAGAACTGCAACCGGAAGTTCTACTGACCTTACTCGGATCCTGCAGCCTCTCCGAGAGACAAACCAAGATTTCACATGATTCCCTTATGTACCCGAGCTGTTCTACCTCTTCACCCTTACTTCATTACACACTGAAACCACAATAGCGTGAATTATAGTATTTCATTATTTTATAAATAATATTGTCTAATGTGTGTTTTAAATTTCACTTTGCCAATACAGTATTGTATTTGCCTGTTTACTGTATTTTTCAAAAACCGAATAATAAATGGGATTTTTCAATATACTGTATATATAAATTATTTTCAATATATATATATATATATATATATATATATATATATATATATATATATATATATATATTATTTGCAAAATAAATCTATATTATTTTAAGAATAAATTACTTTTTTAAATTTATTTTAATCATTTTTAATTATTAGCAACATTAGGTATACACAGCAATGTGCTGCTACCCTATTCTATGAGATATTACACAGTGTAGATCAAGAACTACCTATAGGTTCAGCTATTTTTTACATTTTGATTTTTTGATTTGATTTTGATATTAATCATCAGACGAAATGGGGAAACCTTTGACAAGCCGCTTGCTTCCTGTCCTCGTCGACGCCACTAGAGAGACAGTGTGAATTTCCACTGCCTTTATTTTTTACCCTAGGGTAAATTCAGGTAAATTTTAAAATCATGATGTAAGCGCGCTGTAACGTCATACATTACGTCATAACACATCATTCACAAATAAGTGACTAATTATTACGCAATGCAAGTGGCTTTAAATAAAGCCCTTCGTAGAAAGATTACATAACAAAATTAAGTTGAGGATATATTACACTTACAAGGAGTTAGGGAAGAGATGGAGTGAGATAGATGATGTTGTTGAGGGGGAAATTGAGTGAGGCGTGAATGTGGGCGGCGCCCGGTACACTGTGTGGTGGTCGGCGCAGGTCTCCCCCGAGTGTGTCCTGAGTGCGTGTGCGAGTGTGTGTGTGTGGGAGAGTGTGTGAGGCCAGGAGAGTCTCGGAGCAGCATGGAGGCCCTCATCCCCGTCATCAACAAGCTGCAGGATGTGTTCAACACGGTGGGAGCGGACGCCATCCAGCTGCCGCAGATCGTGGTGGTGGGCTCCCAGGTAAAAGGGGCTCCATTTGCCGTGTTTTGAACTATATTATAATATACTGCGTTAGTAAAAAAACGTTTTTGAGGAGCTAAGATAGAGTAGAGGTATGATGGAGGTGAGAAGTGCTTTATCATGATGGTACAGATGAAGACTATTGTATTGTATTTGGTTTTAATTTACTGTATTTGGATACAAAAATCGTTTAGTATACTCCACATTCACTTGGATTTAAAAACCTATCAAATCTTCCCAACCTAACTTTGTGGTAACAGTCTAAGCTAACAATATCTATCGTGCCTGGGGTCTGGTTGCTGACCAGGCCTCTTGGTGGTGTGGTCAACCAGGCTTACCTGGTTGATGGGGTTCTGGGAGTTGTTCTACTCCCCAAGCCCGGCCTGAGGCCAGGCTTGACTTGAGAGTTTGGTCCACCAGGCTGTTGCTTGGAGTGGCCTGCAGGCTCACATACCCATCACATCCCGGTGCTCCGGCACTTTTTTGTAGAAAACAGTCTCGTTTTCTCTTGAAGATGTCCACGGTTGTTCCGGCAATATTTCTAATAGGCTGTTTGGTGCCGCTGCTCACAGCTTGACGTACGAGTCTATGCTTATAGTCTGATGTATGAATTAACCGACTTGCCCCAGGATGAAACCCTGTAACAGTTGCTTGTATCCCCGGTACCTATTTACTACTAGGAGACCAGAGGCATTAGGTGAAAGGAAATGTACCCAACCATTTGTGTCCTACAAGGGAATTGAGTTCGGGATCTCGGGTTGAGTTGGGAACGATGCTAACTGTGTTATGGGATCCCTTATGGTTAGACAGTACAGTATTGAAAAGTATTGGCCCCTTAATGACTGTACGATTTGACTGCATTGTAGTTTGGTATGCTTCGGTAAGTAGAGCGAGGAAACTATCTCGCTACATTTTTCCTTCCCTAAAAACAAACCCAAAAATATTTTTGTATACTGTATATCCAATACAGTACTGATGTGGACAAAGAATTTGGCCAGAGGACTACCAACTTGTGGTTAAATCAATCAATCATTTTAATGTTTTGCACAAAGTATAAAGTTGTCCTATTCCAATGCATGAGAAATGCCGAGGACAAAGTGAGAATTCTAATGCAGCATCAATATTGGATGGCTTTGTAAAAAACAAATACCCAGTTATTGGAAGCATTAAAAATATAATTTTTATTTTATGATAGAGGTTACCGTACCTGTGAGTGGGTGGGTGAATCCACGAGTTTATTACCCTATGGGTGAAACAGTATCTCCCGTTTTCTGTCCTACATTGCAGCTTGTTGAGCTTGAAGCCACTGCTTGTGTGAATTATATATGACCTCTTATAGAAGTGGTCAGGGATAATATATTTAAATTTGTTCAGCATTTTAAAAGTCTGAGATCAGCCTTGTCATGTCTGGTTTGTAGTGCTGTTAGTCCTGAAGCCCTCGGTGTTTCCTTGTATGATTGGACTTAGTTTTGGGATTACTGTACTCGCCTAGTTGTGCTTGCGGGGACTGAGCTTTGGCTCTTTGGTCCCGCCTCTCAACTGTCAATCTACTTTTGTACAAATTCTTGAGCCTATTGGGCTCTTATCAAATCTACATTTGAAACTGTGTGGGAGTCTGCCTCCACCACATTACTGTTCAATGCATTCCATTTGTTATCTGCCCCTGACACTGAAAAAAGTATTTCTAATTGTATTTTGTATACTGTACTGTACTTGTATTTTTGTTACTTCGTGTTGAACTTTTCCCAAAGATGTTTTGTCCTTTTTAAGGCGAAGTCTCCATTATTTTATATAGTAGTCCAGAGATTTGTAAAACTAAATAACCACTCCTTTTTTTCTTCGTCAAAGATTTGTCCATTATTCCTAAGGCTTGGTTGACCTTTTTTTTAATGCAGCTCCTACTTGCTGAGCAACTTTCAATGTTTGGTGGCTTTAACTTTAGGGCCTTTTTCTTATCTGCTTTATATATACCAGTATGTAGATACCCAGGATACTATGTATGTAGATACATAGATACCCAGGAGTTAAGCAACTGTTGCGGGGTTACATCCTGGGAAAGGTCAGTAGTTCGGCGTAGGGAAGAAGTAGATACAAGCCTCAAAAATATATATAGACTGTATCCATAGGCTTCCTATCCCCGACAACAGGAATTACAGTACAGTATCACTAACAATGGTGGTCTAAATTTACTTAGGAAGCATGATTAATATGAGTTCTTTAAACTCAAATTTTGTTTCCTCACTGTATTTGTTGCAATGTCTGGGAAAAAAAGGAACCATATCTTTCAAATTTCAATTATTGTCTCCTGCTAAGCAATCACTTTCGGGAGGTAGGACTCGTTAAAAAGAAGTACTGTATCACAATTACAACAAGATAATGGTGCACAGTACAGTACTCAAGTTGATCACCAATAAGAGTTTTCTTTCATGCAGCTATACATTTTAATACAGTATGTTTTGATTTTAGGAAAATGTCATGAAAGTCTTCTTACCTTCGAAAAGATATACCAAAATCAAGCCAATTCAGCATAATGTAAACAGCTCTGATAGAAAACTAACTGTTAAGTAACTTTCTATTTGAATAGAATTATAAATACAGTAACACAAAGATTGATTAACCGAGTTATCAGTGTCATGTAAATAGCGTGAGGTATGCAAGCTTGGTTATTGATCTCATTCCGCATGATATAGTAATTTTATTCTGCACTGTTTAATGTTTCACAAATATTTGTTTAAACAGAGTTCTGGAAAAAGTAGCGTCTTGGAAAGCCTTGTGGGACGATCTTTTCTGCCACGAGGAACTGGAATAGTCACACGGAGACCATTAGTACTCCAGCTTGTGTACACATCAATTGATGACAATCAGCACCGATCACAAGAGGCAGGTGTGTACCTTAACTTAATTTGTTTAAGTATTTTATGGACTACAAATAACTTTACTTAGTCGTACCTTGCATGTTAAAAATGAGGTACCTGTAGTGATGATGGATACTGGTTGGAGTAATTGCTGCCAAAATACTGGTAGGCATATTTACATTTATTTTTACTGTAAATCTATCTCTTTCATTTTAATGAAATTAAGGTTTATTAGAGTGAGAAACACTAAGTATTATAGGTACTGTACTGTACCATGGTTTTAAAGAGCAGCAGTGCTAGTTTTGGAGAGACTCAATTTCAGAATTTGGAATGGGTAAAAGGGTGAGAATGTTGCAACACCGTAGCTGCAGCCGTTGCAACCTTTTCTTGCTATGAGGGTGTTCATTGCACCAACCATTTTCTGTATTTGACTCATGTTTTGGAAAAATTCTTCTTGTGTCAATTTCAGAGTGCATGCTCTTGAATCATCCACACCTAGGACTTCATTTATACTTATTTAATTGATACCTTCTCTTTTCACCACCATTACATCACTTTATTTTTATTGGTTTTAGCATTTATATAAATTTAAATTTGTATATATTGGTTATTCCTGTCATAAAAACTTCAGCTTTTTCTAGTATTCTAGGATTAATCTGCTTTATCACATCCATGGAATACTCCTACTTTATCATCAAACCAACCAATTGCTCATTACATCATTAACTACTTCAACTTACCTGGTATTTGTATTATAGCAGTAATAATTCTTGTTTGGTTACAGGAAGCCAAGTTTTCATAAACTTTTTGTGATGAAATATTTGTACTTTATATACCATATATTTATATATACTGTATATATATATATTTAATTATGACAAGATTTTGTTGAGAAAAGACATTTCACTACTGACAAGACATAGGTCAGCAGGTAAATCAGTTCGGCAATGCTCACATGATGTTACGCAGTGCCCTCGTGCTCCTCCCCGCAAGAAGGGGGGATCCAGACATAGCCTCAATGATCCCCCTGCTTCAGGTAACAGTGCAACCTTGCATCATTCTTAGGACAACCCTTGTGCATTCAGTTTTGTGTATGACCAGCCTTATATATGCTAGGTTGTTTTATGGTAGCATTATGGATAAAATTTAATAAACCAAATGAATTAGGCTTTATTTTAATGTGACTCTGACTAGTATGATTGAAAGCAGAGCTTGTGCATTCTTTTCATTACCACTAATGCTTATGGTCTGTGCTGTAATTCTCTTTTTTTTAGTAAACCAAGTATTATACTGTGCATTTGTTTCTCAAGCTATTCCACTTTGATGCTCCCTCAGGCCAGATCAGTGCACGTTCCATTGGATAGGATGATACAGTACTGTAGTTGGATCACTGAGATACTCTGCACTGGTGTAACAGTCTTCTCAGATATCCTTGTCTGATCATACTGATGCTAGGGAGACACTGGCAAATTTATAAACTTGAATTGGGGTCACAAGAACTGCCAAATCATGCTTTAACAAACTGACAGTTACCAAATTGGTGGCTATTCCCAACAGCTACCAGATGCTCTCACCAACCTCAGCCTCTTCATCTTGATCTACCTTGAGGTTACCTTGAGATGCTTCCGGGGCTTAGCGTCCCCACGGCCCGGTCGTCGACCAGGCCTCCTGGTTGCTGAAAAGATCTAGGTGACAAGATCTAGGTGCAGCAGAGGCAGTATTGTAGTTGGTTTTGAGTTGGTTCCAAGGATAAATGTTCCCATGGCTGTTAGATGCTGCTGCATGCAGTCTGATGTAGGAATTACAGTCCAGCTGATCCACATACCCCTTGGAGGTGTTTTATTAAGTTCTCTCTTTGAACATGGAAAATAGTCCACTAGTTATAACCCTTATGTTTAGAGGGAAAGTGTTGAAAATCCTTTAGTAAGCACCACCTCCACTTCAAAATAGTCACAAAAGAACCTGTGGGAAGACAAAAACTAAGATGGAAGGTAGCCAGAAGAATGATTAAACAAGATGGTAGTCACCATAGATGAGGTGAAAAAATCCCAGTAGGACCAGGCTAAATATCACCACATGCTGAAGTAGGCTGCAGGGATATTTTGTCACTCACTCACTCACTAAAATTGTTAAACTCTTAACAAAATCTCAAATTTTGAAAAAGTAAGTATAATAGTCCTAATAGTCAAAAACTGGGACAGACTGGAGGCATTTAATTTATTGATCAGTTGCTAACATACATTCCTTGCACAGTTGAAGGAAATTAGCAGGAAAATAATGGAGCATCTGGAGAGGATAAATTTTATAATGGAAGGGCAATATGTATTTTATAGGAAAAAAGTTATGCTTGACAAACTTGATACCTGTAGTTCAATGCTACCTATTGGAAGTCCCTTGTCCTTGCCTTGCTTTGTGTGGTACTTGGACTAATGACAATGCTGGCAAGGACTCTACTCAAGAGCTTCAGTGTTTTTGTCCTCACACAGTTGAGCCATTTTCTGTCTTCATTTTCCTTGTTTTGTATCATTCAAATTAGTAGAGCTGGTTTCCTGTCACTATTGTAAGTTCCTCAGGTCAAGGGCCAGGCTTGTCTGGTTGAAATTTGATTGGTAAGGAGAAGCAACCTGCAGGAGCCTGCAGACTCCTATCCATTACACCGTGGCTGATTAACACTTTCTGCAGAAACTTTTCCAATAACTCCCTAACATAACATTTTTTGCAATGACAGTATTTCTTACATGGTTGAAGGTGGTTGAAAAGATAGGACCTTAGGTGGTCTTGGCTGTCAGCTAGAGAGAATTCTATAAACATTAAAGACCCAAAACTTTTCAATACCCTCCCTCTGAACATAAGTGATATACAGTAGCTAGCTGACCTGTCTCAGTGTTCAGAAAGGAACTTGATAAATACCACCTAAGGATACCTGATCAACTATGCTTCAATTCATAAGTTAAACTGCAAACAGCAGTGTCTAACAGCCTAGTTAACAAACGAACGAGATATAGGACAAGATACCCTTCGGGTGAGCGGGAAGTGGGTATACAGTAGCTGAAGAATAGCCGGCGAGAGGAAATATCAAAGTCAGAGACAGAGCCAGGGTTAAACCCAGCTGCATAACAGATCTGAGGCTCTTGACAACATGGCCGGCTAAGCAAGGAGGGGGGGGGGGCAACGAGGCAAGTACAGCTGTCCTCTTGGGTCGTGGAGTCTTCTTTCTTCCACGAAGCAGCCCAGTTGACCAGACTGCCAACCAGGAGGCCTGGTCATGAACTGGTGCATAGGGAATGTACATTCTTGGAACCACATAAAGGTAACCTTGAGGTAAGAGGTTCTTTTACCATTGCCACATCAGGTGCATTTTTTATTGTTTTCTTTACTAAGAGCAGTGGCTTGTATAGTTACACTTGTGACTTTCTGGGTGATTCTGCTAGGTTGGAAGTCAATATATTTCTACATACTTTACTCATGCTGATTAAAAGAATAAAATTCTGGTCCTGGTTCCCGGGAGACCTGCACAAGTCCAGGGTCTTGGTATTTTCTAGAAGGTTCTGCAGTATCTGTTCCTTATGCTTTTGGGAGCTACTGATGGCCGACCAAAAAGTAGCGTTTCAATACACTTGACAATTTTTGTTTGTTATTAAGAAGATTGGAGCAGTATAAGGGTTAACAAGATTGGAGCAGTGTAAGGATTAACAAGATTGGAGCAGTGTAAGGATTAACAAGATTGGAGCAGTGTAAGGGTTAGTTATGTTAAACATATTTATTGATTGGTAATTTATTTGGTTATTTTTTTCATTGCAGGTACTCTGGAACTAAATGAATGGGCCCAGTTTCTTCATATCAAGGATAAAATATTCACAAATTTTGATGAAGTCCGGGAAGAAATTGATAGCGAAACTGCCAGGATAGCAGGCAGGAACAAAGGGATATGTAATGAGCCCATTAGACTAAGAATATTCTCTGATAAAGTTGTGAATCTGACTGTGGTGGATTTGCCAGGTTTGACCAAGGTAGGTCTTTGAATGAAGCTACAGTTAATCAATTTATTTCCAGCTCTGAAGTGTTAGGTGATTATACTTGTCATTTTAAGAGGTAGATGCATGCAGGTGCAATTAATTCAAATACATTGCCTATTTAGTAAGCAATACATGCTGGTTTATGAAATTGCTTTAGGAGATGCTCATTAAATTTCTTTAGCTGACATTAAATTTGTTGTCTAGGTTCCAGTTGGGGATCAACCAGAGGACATAGAATCACAGATTCACGAGTTGATTTTATTTTATATTGGGAATCCCAATTCCATCATCTTGGCAGTCACCCCAGCCAATATGGACATGGCCACATCCGAAAGCCTCAAGATGGCCAAGGAAGTGGATCCCGATGGTCGACGAACCTTGGCTGTTCTCACAAAGTTGGACCTGATGGATGCTGGTATGTACATGTATTGTGAGGTAGTTTTGTAGACCACATGTGTGAAAATGTTTTTTGTACACCTTGACAATAAATGGGTTACTTAGCTTCATGAGGACTATCTTCTCTGGTAGTATCTGGGAACCGGAATTTGTGGTTCCTGGCTCCTGGACAAAATATACCTCGGTAACTTTTCAGGTACCATTTTGCAGCACAAGTGAGTTTTGCCCAATTTTATTGTTTTGATTTGAAAATTTAACATTGCCTGAAGATGCAGTGTGAGGTACAGTACTTCAGAAATTGGACTTTTGAGTGTACAGTAGAATACAGTGTATGAACAGCTCGTCCGAGCTGGACACAGTTGCTTTTGGACAATCTATTCTGTCCATCCCCCCCCCTCCCCCCCCACACACACACTGCATAGAAATTGTCAGGTAAGAATGTGGAGGAACTCGAGGTAGTGGAACTTTTCACGGTGTAGGTACCGTCACTTTGTGGCAATCGGGGGAAATTATGAGGATGACCAACTGGTAGTTGGCACGAGTGTTATTTGGCAGTCTTGGTGTTAGCAAGTAACACTTGGAAAGTGTTTGGGTATAGTGTACTGTATGTGAATGAAACTTTGAAGGTCATGCCAAGCTAGACTGATCATTCTCCAGTGTCTTGGCAAGAGTAAGGCCCAGCAGGGACATTTTAGTGATACTGCTTTGATACACAATGTCCACCTATTCTATATTCCTAACCATGGAAATTGTAGGAGTTTATCTTAGAGAGCAATCAAGTGTTTGTTCAGACAGGAACTTTTTGTATAAATCTGATTTTTTGTATTTCAGGTACTGATGCCATTGATACATTGTGTGGGCGCGTCATACCAGTGAAACTTGGCATCATTGGTGTTGTGAATCGGTCTCAACAAGACATCATTGATGAAAAGGTACAGCTTTGTAATTATTTGTAAGATTTAAATATGGCAATTGTATAATACTGTAGTGGCTTTTATTAAATAAAACTATCTCTGTATTTTATTTTATCCTGTTTCAAATTTGATGTCGTAAGTGAGGGTGATCTTGTAGAGCATAAGGGAGGTACCTGGCTGTGCCCAGGTCTCTCTCCATCCTCACATCTCGTCTCCCAATCTCCTCCACTCATCCCATCTCCCCCTTCAACTTTCTCTTCTCTTAATCCTCTCCTTCTTGGGATTTCCCACCCTTTCCCTCTTCTTTCCCACCCTCTTCTTCATCTTTCTTGCCACCCACTCTTTTCCCTCACTGCCCCTCTCCGTTGTCCTCCTCTTCCCTCTTGTCCCCCTCTGACCCCTCCTCTCAACCTTTCTCCCCTTCTATCCTTACTCTCCCTAAATATTTTCCCTCGATCTTCTTGCATGTAGTTGCAAACCTCTGAACTTTTTAAGTTTTTGTTTCATAAAGGACAGGTTCTATGCTGGTGCTGCATACTCGAGTAATAGTCTCTCATAGCTAGTCATGAAAGTTTCCTTGGTTAGCTTTTTAAATGCTCTTATGTTTGCTAACTTTCCATCTGCTTTTGATGTTATCATAATCACATGAGCTTGTGGTGTTAGTATTGGTACTGGTATTGTAATGTTTACAATTTTGGGTGGCAACATTCAAAGTGTATAGTGTTTTTTTTTTATGTTAATTTAATATAGTGTTGGTTACATTAGTGGGATATTGGAACTGTAATGATAGCTGAGACAAGGATGGTTTTTGTAAGGTTTGGAGCAGAAAGCTTGAACGAGGCTAAGGGTAGAGAGTTCGAAGGAGGGGATAGTGTAGAGCTTGGGGGAATGTGTTGAGCTTGGGGGAGAGCGTATAGCTGGAATAAGGCTAAAATTTGTTGTGTACTTTGTAGTGAGGCATCTTGTGTGTGTGAGTAGGAACTAGACTCCTCAAATATTACATCGTATGCTAATGACTGTAGATGGCGTTAAAGAAGATCTGTGGCATATCCAGAGCGTTTGTCACCAAATCACTATTGGAGTTAGACTGCCGACTCTACATTCGTGTTTGTAGTATGTGTTTGCTTATATCCACACTTCCCATGACCTTGTGTTGGACATAGATTGCTTCTGGCAGGTTGGGAAAGTCACTAGTTACTTTTTGGCCTTCCTAAGTGATTCGTGGAAATGTGTTTCAGTTGTAATTAGTGCACATAGGATTGATTATTGGAGGATATTTAAAGTGCTTATTGTAGAACTTTTTGGAATGTGGAATTCTTAGGGATAAGCTATGTGGGATTAACAGGGACATTTAATTGCCTTCACTGGAACTCCTGAGAACTTGGAACAAATATATTACTCTTAATATAGTTGCTACAGTATTATACCCACCTCCAGGTCTTTTTCTGTTATTGTTTCTTGTAATTACCTACTTGTGATGTAGATACCTACAGGCCTATCTCCTTCACCTATTTTCATTATTCTTATTTGGATTAACACTATTGCATGCCTGGCGGGGCACTCAAATCGCACCGGAAGGTAGGCCAAGCATTCCCAGTGAGCACACAACCCAAAGTTAAACTTTCACTCACTATGTTTATACTTATTACCAAGACTAAGCAAAAAATATTACATGATGACATTTGCATCATAACCAATTCTGTGTGTTTTGATTTTATACCACATAATGTGTCAATAAGCTGCGAAAGTGTTAAATAACATTGGCCACATAAGTATTTGCCCACTCCTGAAGTTTGCTAAGATCTTCTTGCAGCCTCCTAGTGTCCTTTCAGTTCTTGCTCTCTTCATTAATGCCATCATCTGCAAACATTGACATTTATGGGCTCCCTCCCTAAAAGGACATTTACATAAATTGGGAGTAACAGTCCTAGGACAAAGTTGTGTAGAACACTTTCCACTCCTCTCCATCCCGATGTATCCTCTATGACTGTTTTCCATCCAGCAGGTACTCCCATAACCAGTCAGTATCTTCAGTTATCCCCACTCTTCACTCCATCTTGTGTATTAGTCTGTGTGTGTGTGTGGGGGGGGCTATATCAAGAGCCTTGTGGTAATCAAGGAAGATGGTCTACTCATCCTTATTTTTGTGATCATCATAGAATTCAGTCATTTGTTTAGCACTATTTTTCCCTACCTCTGAAGCCGTTTTGTGCCAGTTAAAAAATTTACTCCCCAAATGTTCTACAGTTTTTCCAGTTTTTTTCCAGCATCTTTCAGGGAATGCATGTTAGTGACACTGGGTCTATTAATTCAGTATGTGTGTGTCAGAAATATATATTCACATTTTGTTTCATAAGCAAGTACTGTATAGTAGTATGTCTGTGTAATAAAAAAAAATCATGATGGTAAACTTGCAAATCAGCCAATTTGGGGCAGTTGTCAAGATTTTATTTGTGAAACTTTTTTAGGTTAACAGAATGGCTGAACAAATGTTATATTATTAAGTGCTTTTTCAATTACATTTGAATGGTAAGCTATTATTGTTGGAGACCAATTAATGCTCTCTCCAAAAAATATATCCAGGTAAATTTGCTGTTGTTCACCTTGTGTGCTTCATGCTTTATTACCTGTTCCTTATCTCTTTCAGTCAATAAAGAATGCTCTGACTGATGAGGCTGCTTTTCTCCAAAGGCGATACCCAACCTTAGCAAACCGTAATGGAACACCGTATCTGGCCAAGACACTTAATAGGTTGCTGATGCACCACATCAGAGATTGTCTGCCAGAGCTGAAGGTTAGTGGCTCATTATGATGAAAATTGATGTTATGTCTAAGCAGTTATCTGAAGCAAATCTTTATCTTATGGTGTTGGTGTGAAGTTAGTTGAGTCTCACATAAACAAAATTTAAGTGCCAATCATTAACTGTTAGCCTCTATTCACTCAGCAGCACTTGGGCACCTGGTTGTAAACAGATTGGCAGATTGGTCTTCTTTCAGGGAAAACTATTGGGTAAGGATTATCATGAGCTATGGGAAGGGAAAAGCTCTAAGCCTGCTAAGAGTAAGTCAAAGTTCTGTCCCTATACTCATCTGTGTAGAGAAAGAAAGAGACAGAAAAGGAAAAGGTGGCCTGCTGGAAATCTGGAGGCGACAGATAGATTTACAATACAGTAGTTCCCATTTTAGGAGTGTTGTGATAATTGTAATGGAAACTAAGCAGGTGATGAGTCGCAATAATGTGGCTAAAGTATGTTTGTCGTCCCTTCACCTTCTAGTGTGTGGTCTGGTCAAAATGGAAACTAATTAGACTTCCAATGAGGTTGGACTACATATGTGCTAGACTTAGAATTAACAAAAATTTCTGTATACAGTATATATATATATAAATATATATGCTAGTAATTTTTGTAGAACAATGTGTGCAAAAGTGTGTTATCAGTTGCACAAATAAAAGCATAATTATTTTTACTGTACACTAATTTAAAGTAGAAAAGTTTGGCTGCAATAATAAACATTATAAGCAAAAAGGGTCTAGTATAAATTGGTCCATTGTAACAACATTCCAATGTAATAGTTTTTAAATATTTATTATTTACTTCAGGGGCCATTCCCAGTGCACAAAGACTTAGTTATGTCAGACATGGTAAATGTATTGTTTGTGTCGAGATCCAAAAACACCTTCCTGACTTGACTGTGATAATAAAATTATCTAGTACAGCAGAGGCAATTTATATATTGTTTATTTTTTATTTACAGACCCGTGTGACAATGATGATGTCTCAGTTCCAATCACTACTAAATAGTTACGGAGATGATGTACAGGATAAGGCACAAACGCTCTTACAAATCATCACTAAGTTCAATGCTGCATATTGCCAGACAATTGAGGGCACAGCAAGGAATATTGAAACTACGGAACTGTGAGTTTTTGTTGTTTTATTGCTCCTCAGTTAGCCCTATGTACTCGCCTATTTGCACTCGCCTATTTGTGCTTGCGGGGGTTGAGCTTTGGCTTTTTGGTCCCGCCTCTCAACTGTGTGTGTAAACTACTGTGTGAGAATAAAACTTAACCTCTCAGTTGGGGACTTTAATGGTTTTCTTTCAGAACTGTGTTGTAAAAGCTTCCATATGCAGTACCCGTTTATAATCATATTTCATTTGTCGGGTAGCCAAATTTGTTTGCAGTATTCTGTTGCAGTTGTGATCATTTGCTGTAAATTGTGTTTTAAACTGCATAAAGTGGTAGTTAATGTAGAAGAAAATGTAAATAGGTTATTAAGTCGGTTTATAAAAGTTTAATGTTTATAGTAATTATAAAGTAATTTGAAATAGGATTGGATGTTCTAAAGTAAAATAGACTAATTATAAATCTTGTATACTGACAGATGTGGAGGTGCACGTATTTGTTACATATTCCATGAAACATTTGGCCGCACTCTGGACAGCATTCATCCTTTGGCTGGGCTTACACAAATGGATATTCTTACAGCCATTCGTAATGCTACAGGGCCCAGACCTGCCTTATTTGTTCCTGAGGTAAGCATCCTTATGTTCATTATAATTATCTTAATTGAGTAGTTACAAGTACTTAGGTGAAGATGAATGTGTGTGTGTTTAATTTCACTCCAGTGAATTAGGGTGGGTCCCTAATTTTCGTGCAATCATTTCCAAAGATATTGATACAAAATTCATAATTATAACCTTAAAAATAATTTAGGAAACTTTAAAGAATGAGTATAAACATTTTAAGCATTGGTGACCTGGGCTCCAAGAAAGCCTGACAGGTACAATCTAGGTGTGTGGCAAGGAGTTGGACTGTGAAAGTGTTAAGATGCGATTGGACAAATTCCTGCTGGAAGTGTTGGATCAGCCAGGTTGTAATGGTTTTAATGTACTGGTTTTACTCCCAGGCTAGGCTTGGGGAGTAAAACCAGTAATTGAAATGACTAGAGGTAACTACAGGTATACCAAACTTAAAATAATACAGTTTAAAGGTGAGTGTATCATACTTATGTGCTGTTTCCCTTGCATGGCATGATGGGCTGTACGAAATCTAGGAGACGGCCATAAAAATTTATGCATTGCAGTGGGCACGTTACATTTGTCCCCGTGGCGTAGTGGTAAGACACTCGCCTGGTGTTTTGCGAGTGCTTTGTCTTGGGTTCGTATTCTGGCCAGAGACGATTTACTGGTACAAATCCTTAACTGTAGCCTCTGTTTAACCCAACAGTAAAATGGGTACCTGGTTGTTAAACAATTTGGTGGGCCGTATTCCAGGGAACTTAGGATTTAGGACTTGCCCGAAACGCTATGCGTTCTAGTGGCTGTACAAGAATTTTATAGCTTTACTTTCATGTTTAACTCTAGTAATGTGTTCTTAAAACCTATAGGTTTCGTTCGAACTGCTAGTGAAGCGCCAAATACGCCGCCTTGAAGAGCCTTCCATGCGGTGTGTTGAGTTGGTACATGAAGAGATGCAGAGAATCATTCAATTTTGTGGAACCGAGGTATAGTTACTGAAAAAAGACTGATGAACTAAAAACAATATAATGTACTGTAATAAGAATAAATAAAATATATTTAAAATCTAGCTTAAGGTTTCATAATTACAAAATAAAATAACATTTCTTTAATGTGGATATAAGTAATATAATGTGGATACAAGTGGATATAAGGACCAATTAATTTGTTCTGTATACATTTGACTGAATGTTTAAAGGTTTCCTGCTAATAGTATTTTTCCCCTCAGGTACAACAAGAAATGCTGAGGTTTCCAAAGCTACATGAAAAAATTGTTGATGTTGTCACACAGTTACTACGCAGACGTCTGCCACCCACCAATGCAATGGTATTTATTTTATTCTTGTGATGTACTTTTATTTTGCCTTACAATTGACTAAAGTTCAATTTAACAATTTTTAGGTATTCTTAGTAGACATTGTAATTTTTACTTAATTAAAATTTTAAATTATTTGTCAATGTCTCGAATGCTTTTGTGTACAGTGGAACTCCCATTGTTTGGATCACAATTTTCCGGATTCTCAGATTATCCGGATATAGAATTTCCAGCTCTCTATCCCCCATTAACCGGAATTGTCCGATTAATGTAGGTTAGTGTATTACAGTATCTGTGAAGTCTGGGTGCAATTCAGTAGTGGAGGACACAAACTTCCCAAAAATATTACTGGCATACATTGTTGGACTCCTATTAAAACGTACAACATTTTAAGTTCTTAACAGATGCATCCTACAAGTGCACTAACTATGCCTTCAAGCACTACAACCACTAAAGGCTTAACAAGCACTGCTGTAAGCATAGCTGTAACAAGCACCACCATACCCATGCCCACCACCACAAACACAATGACCTTATGACAAGGATATTTGTTACACCAACCTGCACTCCTTATATAATCCTGTGTATATTATTGCACCGTGTACACATTACATTACTGTTTACATTGTGATATACCAGCCCAAAGTGATGCCCTTATAAGTGCATGTGAATTGGACCTCATCTGTTGCTTTCTTCATTATGATAACAATGGTATTGACTTAATTGGAGCTCTTTTTGTTTTTTATAGGTGGAAAATCTTGTTGCAATAGAATTGGCTTATATCAACACCAAACATCCTGATTTTCGGCCAGATGCTTCATTAGTGTCAACTCTCGCAGCTGACGAAGAGAAAGCTCGTAACATTCCAGTTCGGCGGGCACATGGAAATGCTCCTTCTACTTACGAACAGGACCTAAGGGAACAGTCTAAGGTAAAGTCTTTCTCTCCTGTTAGCATGTTATGCAAAATATATTGGCATCGTAGTTGTTTGTTAAGTGTTTTGCATTTAATTTTTTACACCAAAATAAGTTTTAATTTTGTCAGTTAAATTTTATGTGCTATGTTTTTGGTATTTTTATTTGAATTAGTTACTTTGTAATTAGAGTACATTAGTGTAAGCTTTCCTTGTATTGCTAGTTTGTTCTCCATACCAGCATATTGAGACACCTTGCATACGAAATATTACTCAACACACACCATTTAATCATGAATTAGGCTTTGCCTACAGATTAATCTCTAGTACTTATCCTCTATGATGACTTAATACAGTATTACTGTTTGAAAATAAATGTACAAGTTATATTTATCATTTTATAGTTCTCCAGAGGCTGCTCTTCTAGCTTCCTTGATGATGTACAATTTTTGTTTTCTCATTTGCAAATAAGATGACTATTTTAGCTGTTTGATCACATCTAAAATTTTTGCTATGGGAAATATTTTGTATTACTTATTTTAATGAAATATGGAGTTTCTGTAAATGGTTTCTTTATAGTTCATAAAAAAATTCAAGTGCAATTTTTGTTTTCCCAATTTTTTGCTAGCTTGATTTTGCATGCTCTGTTAATGAATAAATGTTTTTTTAGCGTATTAAAAGCTTCATTTGAAATAATTTCTTACGAAATTTTAGATGTAAATTTTAATCATGTAAGTTTTAGATGTTCAGTATTTTGGTACTTCAGTGTTAAGAGCCAATTTAGAATAGTTTTTACAATATATTGTTACCGAGAAGTGTTGCCCCTTTCCAATTTCCCTCAAGCGTGGAGAGTTGAGGCATAATGACAGCTTTGGTAGTAGACCAAGTCTTCAGGAACACCAAATGAACCTAAAGGTAACCAATTACATCCTGTATGTTGCTTCTTAAATGGTGATTAATCCCAGTTGATCGTGCAGAATGACTGTTGCATAAATAATGCCTTTGGAGCATATTTAATACCATATTTATATTGTTTTATATATTTGATAATAAATTAATATGGTTATTAAAAAAATGTATTAACCTACCTTAGGTAATATGCTATACCTAAAAATAAAAATAAGAATCTGTGCATGTTTATGTACTTTGAGGTTTTATGGCATTCTCTTTGTAATTCATCAGTAAAATTGTATATAAAGGCAAAAGTTGTAACAGATGGGGAAAACTGTATGTGAGCTGTAACACTTAGCTGTTCCTTTAGGTAAAGGCTCTGCTCTTATTATTGACAAAACTTTGCATGGTCAGGCCAGGTCAATTCTTTGCAACCTGGATTGTTTCAGACTCGCTGAATTATTTGGTGCAAGGAAGAAGTACTGGAGAAGTGTCAGCCCTTGTATGGCTACACAACGACTCGTTTATTAACCTCGCTTGATTCCTTTCCATGTTGTACTTGGCTTCGGTCACACCACAATGGAGTGGTCTGATAATTGCTAGTTGATTCACCCAGCTGCTACAACAACTGCCTGCATGTGTCAGCCTCTATGTAGGAACAGGACTTGCAGGCTATGCTTGCCTCACATTTCTTTTGACTTTCTCCATGCACTTCAAGCTGTCAGTTAGATAAGGACTGTGCTTACTCTTGGAGAAGCATTTTTTCTACTGTGCTGTGCTTTGTTTTGGGATGTGCACATTAATGTTGGGTACATAAATTGCAGGCATATTTGATATAACTTCAAGTGTATGTACAGTGCAACCTCGATTCAACAAACTATAGAACCAACCCCAATTTATTGCAGTGAGGGATTTGTTGCAACCAGAGATGGCTCCAGGAGGCCCATAGTTGTGATCAAAAACTGGGAAATGTCAAAACGAAAACGAACCATAAAATTTGGTTTTAATGGCTTTTTAAGGGCTTTCCAAAGGCCGCAACATTTTTTTTCACCCATCTACAAAAAATAATTTAAAACGTGATTGGAGCCATAGAAACAGAATTACCATTCATACCCTAATGTTTCCCATGCTCTATGGACTGATTTCAGCGAGTGAAATTTTAATTTCAACATTTCATATGAATGACAGCTACCTAGAGAACCTATCTTTAAAGAGACTTTAATCACATCTGGTATATTTCCCATGCCTTTGCCTCAAACCTCAACTGACATATATAATTGTGAATGGAAAGAAGGAAATTTCAAAATAAAAACAAACCATAGAATTTGGTTTTAAATGTGCTCAATGGCTTTCCCAAGACCCCAACTCTTTCTTCTATTGTTGTGCCCATCTAGGAAAATCATTAAGAACATGATTGGAGCCATATTAAGAGTTATCATTCTTACCCTATTATTTCCCATGCTCTATGGGGCTGATTTTGCTAAAGAAATCTTAAATTTTTAACCTATTATATATAATAACTTGCAATGATTAATGATGGGCAAATTTCCACCAGTCTTTGAACTGTCCCAACATCCTAAGCAAATTCGCACATCCCCCGCATCATTGAATAAGAGTTCGTGGAATCGGGTGAGTGAATCCGGCCTGGAAAGTGTAATTACCCAAGTGTAGTTACAGGATGAGAGCTATGCTCGTGGTGTCCTGTCTTCCCAGTACTTTGTCATATAGAGCATTGAAACTACTGACAGTTTTGGCTTCCTCACTTAGCTTGTTCCAACTGTCTACCTCTCTGCTTGCAAAATAAAACTTGAATCTTTTTTTTTGGTACCTTTGTTACCATAGAGTGAATCGGTGTCCTTTTGTTTGCGATGGTGCTGGTTTCAGGAATTTCTCTTGTCAATTTGGTTGATTCATGTTAGTATTTTGTAAGTGGTGATCATATCACCTCTTTTTCTTCTATCTTTGAGTTTTGACATGTTTAACACTTTTCTCTCCTCGTAACTCGTTTCTCGGTTCCAGAAGCTATTTGGTAGCATGCTGTTGCACCTTTTCCAGTTTCTTTGTGCTGCTTGGGATTTGGGCACCATACAACTGCATATTCCAGTTTTGGTCTCACAAATGTCATGAAATGTTTCTTCAGTATTTCACCATCCATATAATTAAAAACAAGTCTGAAGTTGGAAAGCGATGCATACGCTCCTCCCACAATGTTCTTTGTGTTCCTCTGGCGACATCTTGCTATCTGAAACCACCCTTAAATCTCGTTCTTTTATTAGAATTCTGTAATTCCTCTCCATGTAGTTGTAAGTTGTGTGTGGTCTATTTTCTTTGATTTTACATTCCATAACAAGGCATTTATTCACAATGATTTTACTTGCCACTTTAGGCTTCAAGTACTTATTTTATCTAAATTGGTTTGAATGGCATTACAATCGTCTTCATCTCCTATCTTCCCCAGTATCTTATCATCTGCAAACATATTCATATAATTCTGTATTCCTTCTGGTAGATCGATTATGTAAATGAACATTACTGGTGCAAGAACTGAAAATTGTAATACTCTACTAGTAACACGCCTCGTTCCACGAGCAATATTCGTGTGCATTCCAATGGGAGATTCTCCAAATCAAGGTGGTTTCGAGGTTCCACTGTAATTTGTTGATTGCTCAACGTAGTGTTAGCACGGTGATTCCCCATAGACAAGGTTAGAGATCTGTTATACATAAAGTACAGTGGGTTATTGAGCACTCAACCACAGAATGTGATTGCAGTGCTTTCATAATGCTAAACAACAAACATTTTTGTTTGCCGTATTTAGAGACAGAGATTTATTCTCCTACATAGGGCAAGGGGTTATGAAATGCTCTTTTCTGGTAGTCCCTGCTCTGTTGCCCTTTTCCTCGTGGGTGGTAGGAAGGTTCCATTTGGGTGGCTTGGGACTGAGGTGGCAGTGCTGGCTGAGACTAGGTAACCTGGACTGCCTCCTGGTGGCAGTTGGGTGCATAATGTATTATTAGGTATTTGCCCTGCAGCAATGATTTTGCGTTGTTTTCCTTAGGGTTCCAAATTTCTTTCAAGTTGTTGAGCTTTTTGTTGCCTCTATTTCTGGTAGGTTTCCTTAGTTTTGGGTTAATCTCTGATCCTCAAGCTTCTCTTGCCTCATAGTCAGCCAGATCCTGGTCCTGTCTTCCAGTAGGTAAGGAAAAGTCAGAGGCATGATGCAATTTGCTAAGGTTTATCGATGACAGTACTGAAGCTACACGAGCTATTAAAGGCCTACCAAGAAAGGACATTTCATTCAACGTTTAATTTCTGGGAAGGCTCCCTTGGTATCTCCTTTAGCTACAAACCAGAATACCTGTCAAACCCTTGGTACCACACCAGGCTTTATTATGGGAGCCTACTGCAGACCAGTTTTAGAATCTAGAACACTTGAAAGGGGTAGTTTGAGGATCTAGGATCATCATATTAACCAAGAGAAAAGACCACCAGAGAGGTATTGAACCAAAATGGACATGGACCATATTTGCAACATTAATCCTAACTAAGTAAACAATTGTTAACTGGACTGAAGCACTGGTTCGTAGCACATGCTCATTACCAGGTAGCAACACCGATTGTCCAGTCACCGGGCCGCATATCTAGTCAATTCACTTGCCTGGTGTCAGTCTAGTGCCACTTGGCTCTACTGACCCCAATGTCTGATTTCCAAATAACTGTTGGTCTCTCTTTGGACAGTGTCCAGCATAAGAGCCTGTGCTTCATTTGCTCTTTTGGCTTCAGGGTTTTGCTCTTAAAACCAGTCAAGTCCATCGTCTATCCTCCTAAATGCCTATTGTCATATCCTTGATTATGATAAGTTTTGATGTGAGTGGTCTTGGCCACCATCTCTGGAAGTGCCTCACATCTGAAACCTTAGCTGCCCCCAATTCAATAAGGTCCTCTTCACCTTGGAGACAGGCTGCACATTTGGGTAAGCATTGGAATTGTGGGCATGGAGACCCGTGCTGCCTCAGTTTGAGAACTCGAGTCCTCAAACTTGAGAATTCTTCTGAATGGTGAAGACAAAAACTACCACATCTCCCTCCTCAAGTGCAAAGTCTAACTGCTTGGTAATTTCAACATTTTTCATTTATCTTCATCTATTTCTCAAATCTTTAGTGATTCACAAACTGAAGGCCAACTTTTTTCAAAATACCTTTAATGTTGATGTCTTTGGCTTCATTCTATGATTTTGTTATGTTTCTGAGTTTACAACTCATGAATGTTGTAAACTCTCCAAAACTCAATGAGGTAAGTGCCTGTGTTTTTTTTTTATGCCGCTAGTGTGTCTGGGCCATAGGTTTAAACAAGGTTGTGTTTGGTAACAAAAACAAAAACACGTTTATGTATAAGTTGTCAAGGTACAGTGGGTGTCAGGTGTAGTGTCCAAAAGTCAGATATTAACAGCAGTTTTTGTCTTCACACAATTCTTTTTACTTCAGGTTCAAAGTTTTGTAAATACCAGTCTTTAAATACCTTCCTTTACCCAATCCTTGGAAATACACTTGCACACAATTGGCAGATGTGATTTTAACTCTTTCTGTAAAGCTCTCGGATTTTCTGAATGGCACAAAATAAGTATCTTCAGTTTATGATCTAGCTAAATTTTCTTCAAGCAAATTGTGTATAAGGGGAACTCCAGAATGCTTAACATATGCTGTAATGCATGAATATAACTCCTAAATTCACAAAACACATAATGCATGAATACAACTCTAAACTCCAAAATGTACAAAACACTATAATGTAGGAGGGGGTGGGGGTTGTCCAACTTAATGCAGAGTATATGGTAGACCTGATGATTAACATGGATTAGCTGTTCTCAATCTGCAAAATGTAGTACAGTATTACATGCTTTCCTGTGTAATTCTGAATTCACATAATCCAGTACCACAAGATGCCTGTGCACAGTACATTAGTAGCATTATGGTTCTGTTACTTTGGTTACACTGCCTAGACATCTATTTTTCTGAGTAATTCTTAGTTATGTTTACAGAAAGTATTTAAATATACTTAAAGTACTGTATTTATTGGTCCCTGCTGGTGCAGTGCCTTGCGCATAGGGTATCTGTGCACTTATCCTGAACTGTTCGCCTCTGTTCACCCAGCAGTAATTAGAATATTTGCCGGGCAAGGCTTGCAATGAGCTGTGGGAAGGGAAAGCTGTGTCTGTTAACAAGTCACAAGTCATTTGTTCCTGTACTCACATGTGTAAAGAAAGTAAAAAGGAATACTGAGTAATGTGCAATAGACTACTGTATAGGAGTCCTTGCATTTTCATTCAATGCAGTGTTGCTTTATTGTATACCCTGTCCTCTTGTGCCTGTGGAGGACCAAGGTAAAGCCTACTCCTCTGCAAGGTAAGTAAAAACTTTTCTCTCTTCCCTTCCCCAGAAGTCTCTCTTCTTCTTCCCCAGTACCGTAATGTGTTCAGTAAATTTAAAAAGCATTCTTTATTAATAACTACGTTTGTGTAAATATGGACATTGATGTTTTATTATTTGTGGCACGAACAAGACAGTTGACAGTTAGTAATAAACGTCTAAAAGTTAGATGGGTTTGGAATAGATTTGGTTGTACATGTTCCATAACATTGAGGTTATGCTGTTTGTGGTATCTTTTCCTGTGAATGCCTTAGTTATTATAAATGTAAATATTTTGCCTTGTAGGCTTCTTTTAGTAGGTTTAAATTTGATTTATACCTACAAATCTGAAAATGACAGACTTAAAGAACAAAAAGAAGGGTTAAGTCTGTAGACCCAACCTATGCTCTCACTCTCTTATCAAGCATGATCTAACTTAGCTTTATACCCTCTAGACACTATTTCTCTTACAATGCTCTTTTCCCAACCCGTCCTCTTAAAAATAACGTCACTTTTCGCTCGTATGCGCACTATGGCCAAAAGTGGATGTAATTTGAAGTGAAATCAACTCGCAAAAGTAACGTACTATCCCGTTTTCTGTTTGAGTCGTCTGGCCTACTCGGACATGTTAGGAGAGGAAACTTTCAGTTCGTTTTTCATAACGTTTTGAAACTTTATGAGAATTTCCTGCCCACCTAACCTACCAGAGGACCCTTAACTTACTGTTGTTAAAAAAAAAAAAAAAAAAAAAAAAAAAAAAAAAAAATCATTTTCAAATTACGTCCACTTTCGGCCATACTGGTAAACGGCCAAAATCGACGTTACTTTTATGAGGACAGGTTGCTTTTCTGCCTCGTTCTCTTCATGTCCTACATTTTTTATTCCTATACTTCAATCTCATTCCTTCTCCATTTTTCCTATATTTTAACCTTACCTTTTTCCTATACTGTACTTCTAGCTCATTCCCACTCGTACTGTACTTCTAGCTCATTCCCACTCGTACTGTACTTCTAGCTCATTCCCACTCGTACTGTACGTCTAGCTCATTCCCACTCGTACTGTACGTCTAGCTCATTCCCACTCGTACTGTACTTCTAGCTCATTCCCACTCGTACTGTACGTCTAGCTCATTCCCACTCGTACTGTACGTCTAGCTCATTCCCACTCGTACTGTACGTCTAGCTCATTCCCACTCGTACTGTACGTCTAGCTCATTCCCACTCGTACTGTACGTCTAGCTCATTCCCACTCGTACTGTACGTCTAGCTCATTCCCACTCGTACTGTACGTCTAGCTCATTCCCACTCGTACTGTACGTCTAGCTCATTCCCACTCGTACTGTACGTCTAGCTCATTCCCACTCGTACTGTACGTCTAGCTCATTCCCACTCGTACTGTACGTCTAGCTCATTCCCACTCCTACTGTACGTCTAGCTCATGTTCCTACCTTATAAATTGGCTTTCTCTACCAATTTTTTTTTATTATGATCCAGGATCGACTGAAATAGCCTTTATTTTCAGATTTGTGGGTAGTGTGTCTAATTTTCAGCCATGTTGTGACTTGCTGTCTGCTTATTTCTACTCTTGTACATTACAATTGTACGTAGATTTAAGAATATTTTCTGTTGACTATTGTGAGAGATGACGGTATGGAGACTAGGCTCACCTTCCTTGTTTATCCTCGTGCGATTGAATCACATCTAATTGGTCATATTTTTATATTGATACAAAAGATGTTTTAGGAGAGGTAATTACATTTTTTTCAGTTTGGTACTTTGGAGAAAAATTTTTATCCAGAGGATTGGTATAAAGTATATGGGAACGTAGTCAATGTGCACCAGCATGGAGAGCAGATGAAACAGGCCTCTGACCCTTGCCAACAAAACCCGTGCAATATTTTTGACTCCCACTTGAGGAATTGGGCTACACCCAAGAGGACCAATGTAGCTGTCAAACAACAGCATGTAGGTTATTTTTATTTAGACATTAGATTGTTTTGGGTTGGTTGGTAAAAATGTGTAATTCACGACGAGGCATTTTCTATATCATTTCACCAAGTTAGTGAGACTTTGTGATAACCATAAATATATACAGTACAGTAATGATTGTTAACCCTTTGGCTGTAATAAATGATGGCGGTTAATGTACGGAAATACTGTACAGTATACCCTAGAGTGCAGTTAGTTACCCGAGTTCATATGCTTAGAAATTAAAAATAAAAAAATTCTTTTTCATGGTATCCATGGGAAGAACAAGTCTTATTAGAAATGAAAGTAACAGTAACTAAATATTTTCACCCCTCCCCCCTTTCCCCACAAGAAAGTATTAATTGGTTGTATTTATAATGGTAAAATCTATCTTGGGAACATGTACTCGCCCTGGTTTTAGGTTACACGAACCATAATACTGAATTATGTTAGAAGAGGAAGACTATAATACCGAATTATTTTTTTAATTACACAATTGGAAGGGGGGAGTATTTTATCATGGTAGACTTGTAATAAAGCAATTGTCAAAATTTAATGTTTTGAGTTGCATGTATACCATGTGTGGGGATGAAAGGGTTGTGTTCATACAGCGGGGGAGATGAAGGGGGGAAAAATAGGTGTTGCAGCCAAAGCGTTAAGGTGCAAGTTTAAGAATTGCTACTTTAGTGTTATGATTTCATTACAGAACTTGCAATACTCTACATTTTTTTGTTTGCACATTTTTTAACTTAAAAAATATTTCTCTTATGTTTGAAGTTTCTTGGCACTTTCTGATGGGCAGTGTATGGCTTAGGTGTACTGTACTGTAGTTGTGAGTGTAACTTAATGCGCTATACATTAACACAATAGAAGTGAGCAAAGTACATTAAGCACTTTAATCAGTTGTGTATGTGATATTAGTTTCATGCAAATTGTTTTTTACTGAATATAGTAGAACTTACCTTATTCAGACATTTGGAAATAGATGAGCTGAATTAAAGTACTGTACCAGATTTGCACTACCATAAATTGTATATAACACCGTTGTCTTGTGTACTACGTACAGATTATATGTTAGTTTTAACCTCAAAATGTGGTGTACTCTAACGAGGCTTTACACTGTGCTGTACATATGTATGGAATACTATTTGATACTTGTCAGCCCACCAGCTGGAGGTGATGCAACTCTTCCACTCAACAAATAGGTCGCATTTTTATGCTATGGTAACCAATGTTACAAATGCAAACCTACTATTAATAAACTACTCACAGATATCTCTGTTTTCTGTGCATTAGACTTGAGAAGTTTGGTTGGTTGCTTGGAGTTGTATATATCTGGTTAGGTTAAAAGGTTAGATTTTTTACAGTGGCAGATCAAGAGAATGGGTTGGATGATGACAGTTGCATAGCATTGATCAGCTAATGGGAGGTGGCACCTTTGTCTTGCTTAATTTTTGTTTGCATGTTAATTTATCATTTCTGATGCATGTTGATGCAGCTTTATCAAGTGTTATTCACAAGTTTTAACGAGGGCATAGTCATTTAGGCAATAGAAATTGATTTGTTCCTATGAGGCAGAGGGCTGTATGGCTATGAAACTTGACACTGTGGAACTATGGCACTCTCACTTTCTTGGTATTATGCTGTAGATCTGATAATTGTGTTCTTCTTGGCTCTATTTCTTGCTTGCAGTGTCATTTTTTTTCTAACCAGAAACATTAAAATAATTGTAATATTTGATGCTGTTAAAGATCAAAACATAGACATTAACATGATTGGAATGCAGGACCAAAATGGGTAAAAAATCCTACTAGTAAACCAAATGTAAATTGTTGGATCTGATTACCGAACAAATTCAGATAGTTATAAATGGATACACTTTATGGGTGACAAAAATTGTAGGCTGACATTTTACAAACAGGTTTCCATTGGTTCTATCTGAAGACTTGCTGATTTATAAGTTTTAGTTTGGATACCTCATTAATTTCTAGAAAGTGTTCTATTAATCCAATTAAAATTTGTGTTCCTGTGTTTCTTTTTACAATGATCTCAACTAGTTTCTTCTCCCTGTTACAGTACCAATACACACAATCTTATGCTGGGGGTCTTGCGTGTTCTTTCTGTCGGTATACTGTATAATCTTTAGCCGATTACCTTTATGCTTCTTCCTTCTTGGCCAAACAGTTTCATGCTGCTAATCTTTTGTTGTATGAGTCTTCTCTTCCACAGTATATTAGATCCTTGTATAGTGCTAATTTCACCCCGCTAATTGTGTAGCACGGTCATGGCTCGTCTGATGCATGAAGGAACAATAGGTAATGTATATCATGTGTTGATAAACAGTGATTGGGCAGTCTCTTGACAGTTTCCCTTTACAGTATTTCCCATATGGTAATAAGCTTGCATACTAAGAATTCCCGTAGCTCAATGCTTTCCTGGGCTACATCTCTTGCCCTTCAAAGTCCTAATGTACAGTTGCCTTAACAATCCTGTATGTGCCTCTTCCACTGTACATTACAATCTTTGCCTGACATTATGGTATCACATTGATTCACATCATACTGCAAATTCCATTACCAGTACCTTTCTGTATTTTCCACTGACTTTTCTTCTAAAAGTCCAAGGCACTAAAAGGTCGGGTACAGGCAACCTGCTTCTTGTAGCGGTGTAGGATAACATATTTGGTTTTTCACTTGATAAATGCCCTTAATAGTGAAGTGTTATCTGCAAATATATACGAATAAACTTGGTGTGTTTCTCTACAAGGAAAGTGGTAAAAATGGATGTCATACTAAGATCTGGAAATTGCCATTCCATCTATAGCATTTGTGTTACCTGCTTGCCAAGTCTGCCATTCACTGTCACCATTGCTTATGATTATCTTACTTTGCCTCTCCAAACCATTCTGATTGTTCTGGAGAATTTTATACTAATGATTTCTAATAAGAAATTTGTATCTAGTGATGAGTTTAATTGTATTAGCATTGTAAAACTAAATACAATAATGAAAAAAAGTAATATTAAACTAATTGTTGAACATACATAAAGTAAATGCAAAATAATAACTACAAGATTAGTTACTGGAAAATAAAAAAATTTTAATTAGGAAGAAAAAGATGCTTGGTGTACTATGTAAAACATCCATATAAAACGTCTTCTTGCCTTCATCTACATTCTTGATTCTGTTTGAGGAAATGTGAAGATTATTTTATGTACAGTATTACTGTTTGTACTGTGTACTGTAGATGCTTGCACAACCAGTACATTATGTTAAACAGCACGCCCAAACTGCAGGAAGATGGCCAAGTAGAATTAAGACACTGGTAAAGCCCTATTTACATAGTTTTACATATTAAAACACTATTTACATATTGCATAATATGTAAATAGGTTTGATTGGTGTTCCATACTGCAGTCTTGTTGTTTGTTTAGAAATGATCTGGGCTGACCCCTGTTAGTACTGTATTCTCAAGGTTGTGGTGTACAGTATCGGCTTTTGATGAACATTCTTATTATTCTGGTGTTAATTTTAGGCCTCACTTGAGTTGCAACAATCTTGTTTGTTCAATTCTATGAATTTTCAATGTTAATCTTATCCCTAAACAATTACTAAATATTACTTTGTCTTCTCCAATAATTCAACGGCCTATTCAGAGACTGGGCCGTTGGGACATTGATCCTCAGAACCAACACAAGGTGACTGCCATTGGCAGTTTAAAATGGGGAGCCATTGAGAACCAGCCCAAAAATAGTGCTAAGTGCAACGAAATGCCTTTTTCTAGATGACAGACATGTGAGCGAGGTGGCCAGAGGGAACCCCTGGTGTGAGCCGAGATCTCATCTGGTGTTGCACCACTGACATAATAGCACCTACTTATGAGTAGGATTTGGATACTTTATGTAGATTAGTGCTGAATCAAGACCTTGTCTGGTTTGGCTACCGAGACGGGTTGTCTGTCTGGTTGGTATCTATTCGTGCTTTTTTCATTCCACCACCAATGATGGATTTCTTAATGGTCTCAGCTTGATACTTTTCCAGTTTCTGAGGTATTGGGTCAGTGTCCTCTTGGTTGAGTGAGGATTCCTTGGGGATGTGAGAGTGGTATCACAACTTGGTCTCATGTGGTTTGTCCCCTGGGCTTTTTGGGACTTTTTGGAGGCCATCCCTTCAGAAAGTTAAGAGTGCTAATTGTGGAGGCTTTTACCTCTTGCCCGATCCCTTTCCTTTCCTTGGGTTCAGGTATTGTTTTGGATCCTGTCTGGGGTTCTTCTCTTGAAGAAAGGGGGTTTCAGTTCATGGTTGAAAAAATGTTGGGTAATAGGTAACATTTGATCCAGATTGGGCATTGGTGCTGAAAACTGAGGAGTTGGTCATTCAGACTGGCATCCTTTATTATCATCCATCCTGGTTTGAGGAGGATGCTGCCTCCTCTTCATAAATTTCAGCTGTGCTGCCTTCTGACCTGCCATGCCCAGCATATAGTGTATACTTATTAGAGTAAATTCTTAATACAAATATTTTATATGCACACGTGATATAGAACAAATTATAAAGAGTTGGGAAAGTTCAACTCTCATTTCCTGTTAATCTCCTTCACTGTGTTAGCCTTTAATCTTTTTCCTGAAGAATGCATCCCTAATAACATAAGACACTCGGATGTGTATAGTAACATGGCTTAGAAAGTTTCTAATTTGTACTTGCATTAATTTCCTTGGTGCAAGCAGTACAGAATGGTATACTGTGCATGGTAAAGAGGTTAGAGTAGAAGTTGGGTGGAGGGAAACTCGGTTGGAGTTAAGGTTACATGGGGAACTTGAAGATAAGGCTGGGAGGCAGTGTTGGTAGAGCGGACCTTAATTTTTTTGTAATACCATTAGAATTAATTTCCTATACTGGTCCTCTATTTTTAGGGCTAATGTGCTTCTTCACCCCCAGTGTAAATGGGGCTATAATAAATATTTTCACTCTTTTTAGAATTCTGACTTACATTGTTTCCAGGGCTGTTTTTCCAAAGTTTACCGTGTTTTCTGCTTTTTAGAAGAATACATTGTTACAAAAGTAAATTGCATGAATTTGGAATCATTACAGTATAAAGATCTTTTAGTGCTTGCATTCTTTATTAAACATTTAGTGTTAGTCGTATCTTATAATTTACACTTGGAAAATACTTGGACTGGTAGCAGTTCTGCACAAGCACACAAACAATGAATTATTGAAGTGAGATTTATCCTGAAGGTAGAAGATGAATGAAATAATACTTGAGTAGCAAAAGGATGATAAATTATTAGAAAAAATAAATACAGATGAACCATGTAGTTGTACAACCTTTAAATTCCAAAATATTTGTAATGTTTATTTTATTTTAGTGAGAACAACAATAAGAGAAATTGTTACCATGGGTAAATGGTTTAATATGGAGTACCCCAAAGACAAATGTTTGTTTCTGAAAGTTTCCAGTGTGTACAAGTTTTGTTCCAATGCATCATTAAACTACATGAGCATTTTTGCTAAGATGCAAAGATACTATGACAAAGAAAAGATAAAGTAGAAATAGTACAAATTTTGGGTGCAAAGAAAATGTAGATTAGATGTTCTGCAAAAGTAAAAGTAAAAAAAAAAACATAATTTGAAATTAAATGCATATAAATGCTACATTGTTGAGCCAGGGGAGAGGGAGACAGATAGGTAATAGACACCCAGTTTGGTATACAGTTAAAGTAGTTGCTGTGTTTTGAAAGCTTGAGTTTGGAAGGTGGTAGCCAGGAGGAAGGAATGTGTGCACACACAGGTATGGGTGCCTTCAGTTACAATAAATGGAACACGTCTGGAGACACGCAAAGAGCTTGAGCTCTTATCCTTTAAACCACAAACGGTTAATCATTTAATTTAAAGCTTTACTTATTGGCCGACTAACTGAAGCGTACCATGTTTAAATGTAGATATAAATGATAACAGACTCAAGATTGGCTTAGGTTTTAAGGGTAAGTGTGTACTGTATTGTATTTTAAAAACTACTTTAGCAATTTTTTTAATTTTGTATGTTATTTGTATTAGTAGTTACTAAACATTAATTACTTACATTATTCTTGAAGGTAGTTTATTATTATTATTATTACTTTATTATTATTCTAAAGACCCACTTGAAGACAATCAAATATTATGGAACTAAGTCCATATGTTCATTTTCACACAGAATATACCTCGATATATTGCTGACCCACCACTTGTTCGCCCAGCTAATGTTGATCTTGCATCAAATGTTAACAACAAGGATCAGGCAAATAGCCAGAACTGGTTTTCGTCCCTCATTGCCGGACCCAGACCAGAAACAACTGGACCAAGCAAAGAACAGTCACAGGAAAACTCGCCTAATATGACACCCACTCATCAGGTGAGACTATTAAATCTATTCCTATCATTCCTCTCTTGTTACTGCGGCATTAAACCCGCATCCGACACACAAACACACCACCCACTCACATCATGACACACACTACCTACCCGCAGATGCCCCTTCACTCGCTAAGCAGACATGAGCATTATTGGACCTAGTGTTTACATAATGAATCATTTATAACAGAATGCAAGGAATCTTTGATGGCCGAGCAACCAACGTGTTGGTGCTAGATTATTCAGTGGAGCTCTTCCTTGTGGATCACACATGAACTACCGACCTACATATACCTACCAAAATGGTCTAAATACCAATATATCTAAAATGGTCACCACCACCCCACCCCCACACTCTTCCTTACTTCTATCCCACTCTTCAGGTGAGACTTACATCTATAGCTGTCATTTTTTGCTTGGTACAGGGAAGGGAACTATCAGGAGAAAGTGCCAAGCCTTTATGAATATTTAGCACTTGGAAGGGATCAGGATAAGGATTTGGAATAGAATGGGACGGGGAATTGAATTCCGAACTGCATGAAGCGAGGTAGTGATTCTAACGTCCAGTCCGCACAGGACTGGCACGCAGTACTGGACGTCGTATTCTCCATAGTTCACCCTTTTACACATCCTCTATAGTTAACTTCCTATTCAGTTGGGACATTCAATATTACCATATTTATTGTTTTGAATTTAAAGAAAATATATTTTCCTGAAAGGATTTAAGTGACATACTTAAATAGTTTTTTAACATAGTAAATGGCTTATGCTTCCAGAGCACTCATCATATTGTATTAGCTCTTGTTTCAAATTATCTACAGTATGCTTATGTTCTTGAGATTGATCAGTCACAGATCACTTGTCTGTCTTGAGTATTCCATCAGAATTTATAAAGCCTGGTTGTAAGTAAATCATTATAGTCTGTTCAGCTACTAGCATACTTGAGCTTTCGTTTGTGAACTTTCTGAAACTGTCATTCGACTAATTCCATCAAAAGATTTTGTCTCCATGGCCAACCTTAAAGGTGTTTAGAAACTCAATTTACTCGTGAATTATATTCCACAACCTGAGAATATACAGTACCGTGTACTTAAATGTTGTTGACAGAATAACTTCTCATTAACATGTCATTCTTGCATGTGTACCTGCAGTCTGTCATAACTGCTACCGGAGCTTAAAATGCCCTTATCTGGCAGGGAAACTGCACCTTCGTTTAGGGGCTTGTCTCGCCCCCTCATTTGATTCCTCGCATGACACTAACACATTTTCTAATGTAAGAGTAATTCTTTGTTAGTGTGAGGACTTAATTCGAGGACATGTTTGACTAATTGAGACAATGTGAAGTGAATGACTAGGTTGTGTGGGATTGTTTTATAAGGAATATCTTACATTTTGTCGATCAATTTTTTGGTTTTCTCCTTTCAAAATTTGTGGCCACTGCAATATCCGGAGAATGCTTCTACGTATCATCTTGAAACTTTCAAGACTTGAATGTGATGATGTCTTGCCAATAGGGAGGTTCCTATTGATATAGAGCCATGTTGATTCTTGGTGGCAGATTTGAGAATTGTTTTAAAAATCATTCAATGATATGGAAAGATGGTGTAAGATTTTGAGCAAAATCTTGAAAACTAATAAGCAGAACTGCACCAAAATTTGTACATACACTTCCTGATGGTATGGGATATTCCCAGTACTGGGAATATCCTGGGAATATAATTGGCTGCATATGGAAAATTTGTCTAAAGAGGTAGTTTTTTTTGTATCACAAGAAAGGTTAGAGATGTTTGAATGAAACTCAAATCGACTTGACAATGGTCCAGGATGGACCGAAATGTCATCGTCCCTTCACCTTCTAGTGTGTGGTCTGGTCAACATACTTTAGCCACGTTATTGTGACTCATCGCCTGCAAATGAAACTCAAACATTCCTGTCTTAAAATCACACATTATAGCAAGTAAATATCATAATCCTAAAAAACAATCATTGTTTCTTGATAAATTTGTTAACCTCTGGTAAAAATAAAGAAAAAAGGCTTAATTTGTATTGGTTGTATAAGAAAATTATATTTTCAGATACAATTTTTGTATCTGTAAAAAAAACCTTGATGGGGTTCTGGGAGTTCTTTACTCCCCAAGCCCGGCCCAGGGCCGGGCTTGACTTGAGAGCTTGGTCCAAGAGGCTGTTGGACCATATAAAATACAAAGAGGAGGAATAGTTCTTCCCAGATTGTGACCAGATATCATTCATGAATATCATGTATGATTATGTATACACAGTATAACATGATTGCATGGAATATTTCATATACAGTTAATTCATTGGCACTTAAATGGAACAGAGTCCCTTACTGTCAGAACTGCAATCATTGTTCTTTCAGTTTGTCCAGGTCATGTTGTAGTTTCTTGCTATCTTCAACCTTCAGGAAATACCAGAAATGTTATTGGAACAAACATTAAAGATTTCTTCAGGGAATTAAACAGGTTCTGCAAGTAGCTATAGACGTACCAAGTTGTGATGGTATGTGGATCTGCTGGCAGTAACGGCTTTATTGATCAAAATACTGTACCACTAAAAAATAGTGACCACTGGCTGAGCAGCACAAGTAGAACTCTTGAAACCAGCCACAGGTAAGACACTCGCATAAAGATCCAAGTGTTACATACCACTTCTTTAGACCATAATGGGAGAATTAACCACACTACTGTATGGTCTTTGTACAGATTCTTTACCAGCACCCCCTATAATTTGTCTTAGCAAATTTACATTTTTTTTTTGTAATTTAAGTTGTAGGCGAGTTGTTCTCGCACTTTGAAACACCATAATAATTAACACTGGACTGTGATTTCTTATGGTTAGTCCATAAGTATGAACGTTATAATAAAGTGCTTCATGATGTCCAGTGTAACAAAATACTCGGGATCACACTGTCACAAGCTCAAGCACACAAAGACCAAAACCATTCCAGTAATGCACTACTGTATTTGAATTTATGGAATTTATAAATTCCTGGACTTTTGGCATTACCTGTACTTTGGGTGCATGTACTTTTTAATATACATTTACACACATGCATACATTACTTAAATACATAAATGCATGTGTGCAAGGGACTATACAGCACATATATTAACTTGTCTATAATGTTGTACCATTTGAAAACCCACGAATGTAATTCTCTAAACTGAATGAGGACTTTTAATACAGTTGGTAAATGTTGGTTTTTCTGGTCTATACTGTATATAATATGTATACAGTGTATATATACTATATATATATACTATATATATTATATATATTATATATATTATATTATATATATTATATAATATATATTATATAATATATATTATATAATATATATATATATTATATATATTATATATATTATATATATTATATATATTATATATATTATATAATATATATATATATATATATATATATATATATATATATATATTATATATATTATATATATATATATATATATATATATTATATATATTATATATATTATATATATTATATATATATATATATATATATATATATATATATTATATATATATATATATATATATATATATATATATATATATATATATATATATATATATAATAATAATAATAATAATAATTTGATATTTCCCAATTTTTATTAAAAATGGAATAAGTTGTTGCATGTAATGCTGTAGAGCTTAGAGGAAAACAAGGGGTGCACTGTAGATGGGAGTAAATCACCACCTTAAGAAACATAAGTGGTCAAGATAAGATGAAAAACGGATGTTTTCACGTGCTGACCACTATTGTTTACAGTACTCCTGAAGAGTATTTTCAATCTGCTGCTTAGTGGCAAGAGCTTGGCAAGACTGGTATTCTCTAGGTTTAGTACACTGGGTTATGCACCACTGCTTTGTGTATGAAAACTTTATATAGGACTTACTTAATTTACGAACAGAATAGCCTACAGGGCCCGAATTTGTTCTGAAGGTCAGAAGTTTGGACGAACATTATAAGACGTTGGAACTGTTTTTTCAAGGTATCTGGTGAATCTTGCTCTGGTAGTGTAAAACAGTTGTCGTGGGACGAGTGCTACAGCTTTTTTTAGCCACAGGGTTAATTAGTTACCTATGGTAAGGTAAAAAGAAAGCACTAAACCATTACAACTTTAACAATTGGAAGGATATGAGGATTTAATTAATTGTAATTACACAAGTGTAGTTACAGGAAGAGAACTATGCTTGTGGTGTCCTGTCTTCCCAGTACTTTGTCATATAACTCCTCAGAAGTACTGACGGTTTGGTATCCACTGGATTCTCACTTAACTTGTTCCAACCATCTACCACTCTGTTTGCAAAAGAGAACTTTCTAATACTTATTGACACCTTTGTGTCCTTTGCTTCAATATCAGTTCGATCTTATTTCGAAGATGCAGGTTTCAAGAATTGTAAATTTTGTCAATTCGTTACTATTTTGTATGTAGTACTATAATGATATCGCCTCTTTTTCTAAGTGCAGTATTGAGTGTGATTAAGAAGCAATGAGAGGAGCATCTGAAGGTTTGTGTTATTACTAGATTGTGCTTTACAAGATAAAAATTTAATGGTAATTGGATGATGGTAATTGAATCATGGAAATGAAAGAGATGTACAGTCTAAAAAATTAACCCTTTGGTTGCAATAAGCGATCGCAGTCAGTGCACAAAAAGTATGCCGTAAAATACTGTCGGGTAATCAACCTGTTTCCACCTGCCTAGAAAAACTTATCTTGATACACCTGTCCTGTAATGCAATGTTTGACCAGGTCCTCTGACCTTCGAAACCATGCCCCCTGGACCTGGTAAGTGCTACCAATTGAAAATGAAATGGAAAAAATTTAACTGAATGAATAAGTTTACCCATCCTCCTAAAATTATAGTACTGTACTTATAGTAACTGTTTGATCAAAAGTACCAGCATAGTGATGAACCAGATTAATTTTTTCTTTTTAATAAATCTAAAGTTCACAATTTTTACTTTTATTTTATAGAATCTGAGAAAAAGATAAAAACTAAACTTAAACATTATTAGTATAGTATAAATATGCTATATTAGGACTAGGATTTCTAGGAGAGGTTATGTTAGGTTCTTTAATTTCATTTTGTATTTAAGAATGATATTTAGGCTAATTAAATAATTAAAAAGGTGAACTTTTTGGTGATATAGCATTTAAAAGTGGAAATACAATAATATTTTAGTAAAGGCATAAGCGTGCTCCACCAGAAGACTCCAATTATTTTCTCTTGCAATTGAATACAGAATAAAGATAAGACAGCTGGAATGGGTTACTGTGTTATCCAGCTTCCAGGTGCACTGATTCTCATTAGACTGGAGGCCAGAGCATATCAAATGCTGCTCAGTTCATAATCTCTTAAACATATATACTGTAACTATAAATTAGACAACTGTTGAGTTGTATCTTGGAGGGAAAGGTCAGTTGATTGGCCTTGCAGGGACCTCGATAAGCCTATCAGGCTCCCTGTCCTTTACAATACAATACCTTATTAGTTAAATGTTTTCGTTGAGTATGCATGGAAATAAAAAAGGTGGTGGATGAAGAAAGAAACTTGGAGTGAGATATAGGCATAAATTGTAAGTCTTATGTGACTTGACTAGTTTAAATACATGAGCTCTGAAATTAACATAATAGGAATTTGTGTAGATTGAGAATAGAGTAAGTCAGGAAGGAAAGTGGCTGATGAAAAGATGGTTCTGGCCACGAATGACAAACCAGGAAGCTGTAGGGCTAGAGGGCAGCATGGAGGAGGACTAAGACCTGCTTTTTGTACAGCTGTGAGGTATGTTGTGGCATGATCAGATAAGAATTAGAATGGTATAGATGATCTGATGCATTTGTTAGGAAGTGGAGTATAAAGTTAGTACCTGTATTACTGTATGTCATAAGATTGTGTAGGATGTGCTGCAGTATTTAGATTGTTTGGTCAAGTTGAATGAATGCCTGGATGATAGTTAAATGGAAGATGATAGCAGTGAAGAGAGAATTCAAGTGAATTTGAGAGTTGGAGGAGAATAATGCCAAGAAGATATAAACTGTGTGTGAGAGAGTAAGAGGGGAATAATTGTAAATGACACATGAGAAGTGGGAGGGAATAAAACTAGACTTAACCAGTTTTAAGAGTAAGTGAATGTTTGACATTTTGAAATAAAATCTCATGTGTAGCACTTTACATGTAACAGAATGACACTATAAGGTGCTGCTGTGACTATTTTGCTATTGTGTGAGACAGTGCTCATTCTTTTTAATGTTAAAGTACTGTATGTTGTGGGAAAGAAGTGTTGCTTCAGTTTGTAGTGTGGTAGATGCGGTGTTACAGCAATACAGTATACACAGTGAATAGGTACGGTGAATAGATCAGGTGACTTTACTATCTTTCTTTTTTTGGAACATTGCTCTACTATTTATTCAATGCCCCACCCTATGACAATGCAGCCTTAGTGAATGGCTGAGATATTAGAGGGAAAGAACCTAGGTTTCCCAATCCTGCTTTTAACATGGTAACATTGTTATGCAGTGTTTAATAAATGAAGCTGTGATGTGGTTCATGACTGAAATTTTAAGGTACTGGGCATTAGCACTGCTTTATTCTTAGAGAATTAACGTATACAAGAGGATGAGACATAAATATTCTCTTTACTGCGTGTACAAGTAATAGGTGGTTAGTGAAAGTGTTTTAATGACAGCATTAAACATCTTTGTGCATTCCAAGTTTAGAATGAATATACTGTATAGAATTTCACATTGATAGATAAAATGCAATTTTTGTTGGAAAAAGTTTAACCAGGCAATTTGTGCTTAAGGTATTTTAAAATAATTTTATCTCGAGCATGATAAGCTATATTAGTTGTCAATTTAAGTTAATAGTATGCACTGTTGCTGGAGAACTGTGGCAAGACACCATGTTTGCTAGGGGACAATTTGCTGATCCTCAGTTTCATTAATATTTTTGGTTTCCAGTGCTTCTGC